GACCACACGTGGAGGAGAAGGACCCTCTTACGCGCGTCGGCCCCGGCGTAGTTGGCGAAGAGGTTGGCCAAGAGCTTGAGGGCCGACTTCTGGTAGAGGCCCACCACCGTCTCGTTGAGGGGGTCCTTGTTCTTCTGAAGCCACCCCAGGATGTTGTAGTCCACCGTCCCCGCGTAGTGGACCAGGGCGAAGTGGGCCTCGGGCTTCCCTTTGATGTTACGGGGCTTCCCAAAGTTGGCCGACTTGCCCAAGTGGTTGTCGAAGAGTTTGGCCTTGAAGGTCATGTCGGTGGCCTTGGGGAACATGCACTCCTCCTCCAAGATGGACATGATGCCCATGGGCTGGGGAGGAGAAGACCTGCTCGGTCCCGGTGGTCTCTTTTGGTGGATCTCAACCGGAGGTGGAGGTGAAGCTCCACTCGGAGCTTCTCCTGGGGCTTCCAGTTGAGGTAAAACCCAACAGGAGCTTCTCCAAGACCTTCCAGTTGAGTTGAAGCCCAACTGGAGCTTCTCCAGGAGCCTGGAGCTTCTCCAGGAGCTTCTCCAGGAGCTTCCAGTTGAGTTGAAGCCCAACAAGAGCTTCTCCAAGACCTTCCAGTTGAGGTTGAGCCCAACAGGAACTTCTCCTGGAGCTTCCACTTGAGGTGAAACCCAACTGGAGCTTCTCCTGGGGCTTCCAGTTGAGGTTGAGCCCAAATGGAGCTTCTCCAGGAGCCTGGAGCTTCTCCTGGAGCTTCTTCAGGAGCTTCCAGTTGAGGTTGAGCCCAACTGGAGCTTCTCCAGGAGCTTCCAGTTCAGTTGAAGCTCAACTGGAGCTTCTCCAGGAGCCTGGAGCTTCTCCTGGAGCTTCCAGTTGAGGCTGAGCCCAACTGGAGCTTCTCCAGGAGCTTCCAGTTGAGGTGAAACCCAACCAGAGCTTCTCCAGGAGCCTGGGATTTCTCATGGAGCTTCCAGTTGAGTTGAAGTTCAACTGGAGCTTCTCCAAGAGCTTCCAGTTGAGTTGAAACCCAACTGGAGCTTCTCCAAGAGCTTCCAGTTGAGATTGAGCCCAACTGGAGCTTCTCTAGGAGCTTCCAGTTGAGGTGAAGCCCAACAGGAGCTTCTCCAGGAGCTTCCAATTGAGGTTGAGCCCAACTGGAGCTTCTCCAAGACCTTCCAGTTGAGTTGAAACCCAACAGGAGCTTCTCCAGGAGCTTCCAGTTGAGGTTCAGCCCAACAGGAGCTTCTCCAGGAGCTTCCAGTTGAGTTGAAGCCCAACTGGAGCTTCTCCTGGAGCTTCCAGTTGAGGTTGAGCCCAACTGGAGCTTCTCCAGGAGCCTGGAGCTTCTCCTGGAGCTTCTTCAGGAGCTTCCAGTTGAGGTTGAGCCCAACTGGAGCTTCTCCAGGAGCCTGGAGCTTCTCCTGGAGCTTCCAGTTGAGGTGAAACCCAACTGGAACTTCTCCAGGAGCCTGGAGGTTCTCCTGGAGCTTCTCCAGGAGTTTCTAGTTGAGGTTGAACCCAACTGGAGCTTCTCCAGGAGCTTCCAGTTCAGTTGAAGCTCAACTGGAACTTCTCCGGGAGCTTCTTCAGGAGCTTCCAGTTGAGGTTGAGCCCAACAGGAGCTTCTCCAGGAGCTTCCAGTTGAGGTTGAGCCCAACTGGAGCTTCTCCAGGAGCTTCCAGTTGAGGTGAAACCCAACAGGAGCTTCTCCAGGAGCCTGGAGTTTCTCCTGGAGCTTCTCCAGGAGCTTCCAGTTGAGTTGAAGCTCAACAGGAACTTCTCCAGGAGCTTCCAGTTCAGTTGAAGCTCAACTGGAGCTTCTCCAGGAGCCTGGAGCTTCTCTAGGAGCTTCTCCAAGAGTTTCCAGTTGAGGTTGAGCCCAACAGAAGCTTCTCCAGGAGCTTCCAGTTGAGGTTGAGCCCAACTGGAGCTTCTCCAGGAACCTGGAGCTTCTCCTGGGGCTTCCAGTTGAGTTGAAGCTCAACAGGAGCTTCTCCAGGAGGACTGGACAAGGTGAACCTCAACTGAGGCTTCTCCAGGAGCTTCTCCAGAAGCCCTGGTTGAGGTGAAACCCAACTGGAGCTTCTCCAGGAGCTTCCAGTTGAGGTTGAGCCCAACTGGAGCTTCTCCAGGAGCCTGGAGCTTCTCCAGGAGCTTCTCCAGGAGCTTCCAGTTGAGTTGAAGCCCAACTGGAGCTTCTCCAGGAGCCTGGAGTTGAGTCTAAGCTCAACAGGAGCTTCTCCAGGAGCTTCCAGTTGAGGTT